AACTTTAATGCCAGTAGCTCACAAAGTAGAATTTTTGCTCACAAGACTCCACAGCTTAGAGGGAGCATTGGTTTCAACGTATCTGAAGACGTATGCATGCATATGAAAGCTTATACCCAGAAACAAACTTTGTTGGTCTTAAAGGTACCACACTGGACTCAAACTCTGTTCTGTTCTTACGATTAGCTGTAATGCATTGATTTGCCGAAAGACTACAACCCCCAAGAATCACTGAGCGCGATGAGATCATCAGTTCGCGTCGGGTGGCGTCACTAAAAAGCCGCCCACAGGGGAAGCGGGAGGTTTTCAATGTAAAACTGCTGATCAGGAATGGAGGAGAAGCTTAATAAGGTAAGCGAGCCTGGTTTTCTAGGGGCGGGAGCATTTGCAACGGGGGCCGGTGTTGAGGTGCCGTTTTGTGCATTGTCGTGAATAACCTGGAATAAACTCCTAGTGCCTGAATTTATGGCCATGCTGGTAGATGTGTGTTAAAATCAAGTGTTACGTGTTGGAAAGTAATGTAAAAACCAAGCAACGTTGACGCTGAATGCTTACAGCTGGAATAAAACGTAGTCGAGGTTTTAACAGCATTTCTCTGTGGAGTTGCTGATCTCCAGGTGGGACCTGGATAGGGATGCCAGCCTCCAGGTGAGACCTGGGGATCCCCCAGAATTTCAGGTCGTGTCCAGACTGAAAGAGAGAGAAGAGATTGGGTTTATACCCCGCCCTTCACCTCCTGAAGGAGTCTCAGAGCGGTTTAGAATCTCCCCTCCCCTCAACGCACACCCTGTGAGGGAGGAGGGGCTGAGAGAGCTCTTTCGAGGACTGCTCCTGAGAGGACAGCTCTGAAAGAACTTGTGACTGACCCAAGGTCACACCAGCAGCTGCATGGGGAGAAGTGGGGAATCAAACCCGGTTCTTCCAGATTAGAGTCTGCGCTCCTAACCACTACACCAAGCTCCTAACCACTACACCAGACGATAGAGATTAGTTCCCCTGGAGAAAATGGATGTTTTGGAGGATGGACTCTATGGCATTGTACCCACTGAGGTCCCCTGTTTGCCCCCGGATCCACCCGCAAATCTCCAGGAATTTTCCTTCTTGGAGCTGGCAACCCTAGGTCTGGAGATCTTCTGGAATTACAACTGATCTCCAGGGAAGTTAGCCGAGTTAGTCTGTTGCTGCAAAATAGTTGGGAGATTAGTTGCAAAATAGTAAAAAGCCCAGTAGCGTCTTTAAGTCTAACAAACTTTATTGTAGCGTAAGCTTTCTTTTTTTAAAAAAAAGATATATTTTTAATTTCCAAATTTCCCAACAAACAAATCGCAAGCAAAGCAATAGAGCCCGACTCCTGTTCTAATCTTCACTTGGCAAGAGCTGTTTAAAAATGTTGCACTTCGGTAGCAGAAGCTTTCGAGAAGCACAGCTCTCTTCGAAGAGAGAGCATCTGACGAAGACAGCTGTGTTTCTCGAAAGCTTATGCTACAATAAACTTTTGTTAGTCTTAAAGGTGCTACTGGGCTTTTTACTATTTTGCAACTAATCTCCCGACAACGCAGATCAGTTCTCCTGGACAAGACAGCTGCTTTGGAGGGTAGACTCTACGGCATCATATATCTGCTGAGGTCCCTCTTCTGTACAAACCTGGCCCTACCTAGGTTCCCCCCTCCTCAAAATCTCCAGGTACTTTCCAACCCAGGCTCTACAACCCTATGCCTCCAGAGAGAAAATTGCAGCTTTGGAGAGTGGACACTTACATCCACCCGTTCCAGGCTGTGTCCCCGTTTCCAGGAATTTCCCACCCTGGAGTTGGCAACCCGGTGTTGTAAAGTTACTGGGGAGTGGTCACCATTTACCTGAACTGTTCTGATCTGGGACGATCAGCTTTCTACAGCGTCCCTGCTGTGGCATGCAGCAGAGAGGGTGCACTGGATTGGATAGGCCACCGCCCTGCTTTATGGCTTCCTCTACCGTGCTGAGAATCCTATACTATCCTGTATCTATCCTCAGAATGCCATAAGGCAGGAGGAGATGTAATTGTAATAAATAAATGTGGCTTTTAAAAGAGCCAGTTTGGTGTAGCGGTTAGGAGCGGGGACTCTAATCTGGGAGAACCGGGTTTGATTCCCCACTCCTCCACATGCAGCTGCTGGTGTGACCTTGGGTCAGTCAGAGCTGTTCTCTGAAGGGCAGGTCTCCAAAGAGCTCTCTCAGCCCCACCTCCCTCACAGGCAATGTTCCCTCTAAGCTGTGGAGTCTTGTGAGCAGAAATTCTACTTTGTGAGCTACCAGCATTAAAGCTGTGAGCGAGTGACTTGGCTACTGCATAAATTAGCTTGCTCTGGAGCCATCCCTTCCCGAGCTAAGGCAAAAATGTGTGAGCTGGAAGCTAAAAAACTATGAGCTAGCTCACACTAACTCAGCTTAGAGGGAACACTGCTCACAGGGTGTCTGTTGTGGGGAGGGGAAGGGAAAGGAGATTGCAAGCCGCTCTGAGACTCCTTTGGGTAGTGAAGGGCAGGGTATAAATCCAATCTCTTCCTCTTCTTCTTTTACCTCACAGGGTGTCTGTTGTGGCGAGGGGAAGGGAAAGGAGATTGCAAGCCGCTCTGAGACTCCTTTGGGTAGTGAAGGGCAGGGTATAAATCCAATCTCTTCCTCTTCTTCTTTTACCTCACAGGGTGTCTGTTGTGGCGAGGGGAAGGGAAAGGAGATTGCAAGCCGCTCTGAGACTCCTTTGGGTAGTGAAGGGTGGGGTATAAATCCAGTCTCTTCCTCTTCTTCTTTTACCTCACAGGGTGTCTGTTGTGGGGAGGGGAAGGGAAAGGAGATTGCAAGCCGCTCTGAGACTCCTTTGGGTAGTGAAGGGTGGGGTATAAATCCAGTCTCTTCCTCTTCTTCTTTTACCTCACAGGGTGTCTGTTGTGGGGAGGGGAAGGGAAAGGAGATTGCAAGCCGCTCTGAGACTCCTTCGGGTAGTGAAGGGTGGGGCATAAATCCAATCTCCTCCTCTTCCTCCTCCTTTTCCTCCTTCTTCATTTCATTTATGGTTTCCCCTCTTTCCTTTCCCTGGTAGGTTGCTTTGTGGTTGAAGAAGACTTTTGGGGATCAGCCCATCCCCCCGTATGAGGCAGATGCTCGAACCGTGGATATCTTGTATGAGTTGGCGGAATGCAGCGAGTCCAGGGATGGCGACGTCGTGCTGTTAATTGAAGACATGAAGCAGAAGACGGAGGAGTACGAATCAGATGGTGAGGTTGGGGATTGGCTTCAGTTTCAAAACGCCCTTTTCTCAACAGCCCTTAGAAAACTCCCTCTTTATTCAGTTTGTTCAGAATGTAATTCGAGATGTGAGGCTCCCAACGCTCCCTCTAAGCTGTGGATCTCGTGAGCCAAAATTCCACTTTGTGAGCTGCTGGCATGAAAGCACGAATTAGCAGTTTGGCTGTTGCCGAAATGAGTTTGCTCTGAAGCCATCCCTTCCTGAGCTAAGAAGAAAGCGGTGGCGCAGGCGGTAAAACGCCTGCTGGTAACATCAGTGAACAGCTGTTACAGCTGTTCGAGACCCACCGCGGCCGGGGTGAGCTCCTGGCCCTAGT